CGTTACGATTGTTTAATCTGTCGAATAACAACATACATTTTTAATAGCATAATCTGAAGCAGAACAATATTATTCGGAATACATCGATCAATATTATGCAATCAGAATTCGGACAAGTAGTCTATTAGTCTGTTATAAGTATTTAAAGTTTATATGAGTGGAGTATAGTGGACCAACTTTTGCAGGGTATCATGCAAACTATTCTCATCGAAAATATTAAAAAACTACACTATAAACGAATAACACTAATAGGTACCTACTCGTTCGAAATTCCATTTTTATGCATAAAAAAACTTTAAAAAATGTTCTACATTCGAATTAGGAATTAAAAATGTATGTATTACCGTCATTAAAAAAAGGATTCAAATTAAAAAATCTATAACAATAGAAAAATAACACTAAGAATATATTATTTTTAGAAAAATTTTGATTTCTATTATATAACGATGTACAGCCGTTACGTTGAATAAATGTTTTCGAAAACAATTAATAAATAGTTTTTGAAATAATGAGTGCGTATATAGTCTCTTACGTTGAATGAGTCTCCGGCTATATATATATATATAATAGTGATTTTGGCAATTAGTCCGACATTTGTGCCGACTTCCATTGTGCGGACTTACGGTTTCCGATGAGTGTGGCGCGGTATACTGGTCGCGGTATATGTGGCGGAGAACTTAACAGTACGCCACCGATATAGAAAAACTTTGAGACAAAAGGTTTTTAATTGATTTTCGAGGCACGGTTGCGGAGTGCCTTATATCCATATATATATATATATTATGTGGGTGTGTGGTGGGTGTATGTAGCCGTATCGTGGGTATAACGAGGGTATTTTCGGCGCGGAGAAGTCCCCGTGACCGGCATTGTTATATAAGTCTTTGGTACATGCTCCGAATAGACGAAAATGTTTTGTTGTCCGTTCGGAGTGCTGAAAAAACGGTAACGTTCGCTCTATATAATAATAATAATAATAAAAAGGACCCCCGACCGACGACGACGGGCGAAAAAGAATGAAAATAAATAATAACGAGAGAATTTCGGTGTACAAAAGCGAGCTTTTCGGTACCTCAATTATATCATTTACGTTTATCGGATATTCGCACGGACCGCGCGGCGAACAAATTAAAATAATGTGCATTTATAACCCTGCTCGCTCTCTATATTATATTTTAAACGTGTATTATAAATAGTCTCAGACACGATTTCGATTTCAAAAACGTATCGGCAAAACTTTAATAAGTATACCTACATTATTCTCGACGATAATTATTATTATCATAACTCCGATTATTATATTTTATCAAACGGAAATCCTTTGTGATGAACCTAAAACTTTGGCAACAGTTTCTATGCGTTACTAAAAATAATAATAATACCACGAACGGGTTTGGTCGGATTCGCCGAGTATATATTACACATGGCTACCGTGCAGGTAGTCGTAGAGGCGTTGCGAAATAATACTAAGGTATTTATCGCCATCATTTGCATAAAACGTGAAAACCTCGCGGTTATTATTCGTTTTTATGTTTCGTTTGGCGAAGGTTATAGGTTGAGAAATTCCGAAATCCCACTCAATTAATCAAAAGTTGTTGTTTCGCTTTGCAGTTGGATTCGGGGCTTAGGTCGCCGACATCAAAAACAAAGTAATATAATAAAACAAAACAGCTGACTATATATGAGCGGTATACTGGGCAATAAAACCCAAGTACATCCGAGGGACTAGCAACCGATGTTATGTTTAGCAGTTTCGCGTATATGGAATTAATATTATTATTGTAGTTTTAATGTAAAAAAAATGTAAATAAATAACACCACTTTTTTGTACGAAAACACAACACACCTGCCGAGTTCAATTAATACGAGGAAGTAAAAATTACGTACCTACCTACCAAAAACGACAATGACATGTTATTATATATATTTACCTAATTAAGGTAGAGGTTTGTTTTTTCCCCACAATAATAGACACGCTGATTGTTGCTGTTAATATCAATGAAATGTATGGGACACCATTAGGGCAACTAGTACCATATTATACCCAATGGCAGGCGGTGAGTACCAAAAAAAAAAGTATCTTGATACATATATGATACAAGATACTTTTATTTTGGGCACATACCTATATATACATGTAGAAGTACAAGATACTTGATACTTTTAGAATATTAATAAAAGATATAAGATACCTTAAAAAAACGTTCAATATTTACCGAAAATATACAAAAAGTGAAATAAAAAACTTTTTTAGTGTTTTAAAATAAAATAACAATATAATTAGTAAGTACTTATATGTTGGCGGTGCTAAAATAATATTATAAATATGTAAATACATCGTACCTATGTCATACGCGTAGAACGTATAGGCACCTGGTCAATGTGACTTATAAAGAAGTTATTTTTGATATCAAACGATTTATGAACAAAAAAAAAGTGTAAATACGATATTATATAATAAATTAATACAACAGTTTTTACAAGTAACTATAAATACTACACCCAAATGGTTACTATATTATATTTGTTTTGATTAAAATCACACACAAATCATGGGCGTATTTATAGGTGGGAATGGGGTATATGGGGGGGACATTACCTTTTTGCTTACAAATAATATCGATGCGGGGGGGGGGGGGGGGCACTACACTGCAAATTATCTCAAAAATCATGAATTTATATCCCCTCAAATGAAAATTCTTGTCTACGCCACCGATACAACTATTATGAGTAACTATAATAATATTATTATACTAATACCTTTAAAGTTTTACACTAGGACGTACACTTATTGTACATAAATAATTATTAATATAAAATTCCTTTGAGCTATATGGTAATAACTATAAAAAAAACCCTCTTGGATTATTTTTTTTATAATGCAAGGGTAGTTTTTATTGATATTTACCTTATATTGTTTTGGGTCCCCCAAAAAATCACAGATAGATCCAAAACTAATTACAATATATCGTCAGCGGCCATAATAATAATCGTACGAAATCGCATGACTCGGGGGGTACAACTCCCCCCCCGCGCATGTACGAGCGCGTGAAATTATCGACCGGGTACGACCACCGCCGTGTTCTCGTGCAGTCGGGTACAATAATATACTCGTTGGAGAATAATAATAAGGTCGAGGAGGCGTTTCGACATCGACGATAATTATTATAAACACTAAGACACGTGAACAATAATAACAATGCGGTAATCGCGCGATTTTAATTCAATCCGTTTCGGGTCGCGTACACGACGAATTAGGCATAGGCACCTAAATACTGTAATAATATGATGTTACGTGTGCGCACATTGAGCGAATCGATGATAATAATCACAGGTTTCCATACTATCACTGCACAGTTTGGTGTTATTATATAACTCGCTGTGATAATAATAATATAATTGACAATTATTATTGTTATTATTATACGGAATGACGTGTGAAGCGAAAATCGTCGTCGTCGTCGTCTTTTAGGATAAAACGATTTTGAGAGTAATAATATAAACATAATAACGAAGAGATGTTATAATATTAATGATCCACCGAATACATTGGATACTGCCAGCTGTAATCACAGACTTTTATACCACACTGTAGATAAGGAACTATTGCGTCGTCATATAAATTTCGTTTCATCTTTTATGCGGTTAACGAATTGACATATACGAGTGTATATTATATCATCAGTATTTAGGTATGTTACCTAATTACAGCTTGCAATTTTAATGTATATACACGAGTATCTATACTTATGGAAATTTCGCTAACCCCAAACAAGGTGCGGCGGACGAGCCTTTAGTATTATTTTGTACTTGTTTTATTCGGAAAAAAATCCTCAGTAAGATGGACTAATTTTTATATACTATTGAACCTTATTATTATTATAATTCTTATTACATTTTATTTTAATTAATTGTATCGATATATTTGTTAAATACCTATGTTTTACCTATATTTATTTGTTCAACCTGAAGTTGCCCCAAGGCTGAAAATATATAGTTGATAGATTGAACTCGACATTATTTTGGCATTTGCGAATTTTTATTTAAATTAGGTACCTATTTGTCATTATTTCTTTTTTTTATTCTATTCAGAGATCCCAATGTATTGTAATACACAGAAATCAGTGACAGCAGAAATAGTGCCAGTCCTATATCGTGTACCAATATGATTATCACATAATAATATTATGTCGTTGGGCGTTATTCGAAATATATTATTATAATTGAGGCGTTACGTGGCAAAGTCAGCAATCTCCACTTTTTTTGGAATAAATGTTTTGATCACATTCATATAATACGTTTTACTCTGCGTCGATTGGTGAAGCTGATTTTTATCACATATAATCGCCCATCGAGATAAAACGTTTTAATACTAGCTGATCGCAGCAAAGAGAGCAATCTCCAATCATAATACCATATAATACATGTTCTACGTTTCTGTGGCAAATGAGGCAATCTCCATGCGTTTCTGTGACAAAAGCGGCAATCTCCGTGGGTTCTTCTTGGGTTCCGCGGCAAATTTGACAAAGTCCATTTTCCCTCCTTTATTATTTAATGTTATTGACATTTAACAAATTATATGAATACAGGGAATAACACCAAACTCCACTATCAACCAACGAAAATAAAATATCATGGAAAAATACAAGAAATAAAGGTAAAACAGTTTTTTGACATTTACCAAAAATCACTGCGTTTGGAGATTGCTGACTTTGCCACATGACGCCTCAATTATTATTACAATTTGGGCAGCTCATCTGACATGCACAGAGGTTCCTATACTAACGTCCCGCGGTATAGTACGGGTTACCGCGTGCACGGTACCACCACACCACTTCATACCGCGCCATAATATATACGAAGGTGGGTACAAGATGATTTACGCCACTCGATTTCGTACCGCGGCTTTGTAAGTGGCGACGGGGGGGGCGGAAGCGCTGGCGTCGGAAAACGCCGTCCGTATATAGCTAATCATGAAGAAAATTGCACTTTTATCTCGTTACCCGGTGAAAAATCGACAGCGCCATCATCGCCGCCGTCATTCATCCGGATCGCTCTCTGCTCTCGCATTGCAGCCGACGTTGACACACACACTGCTCCAGTATAATAATATATACGGTCTCGCATAAATAACCGGAACTTTGATCATGGAAAAGAGACGCGACCAGCTTCGGGGCATTATAATAATAATAATAATAATAATGAAAATAATAATAATATTATAATATGTACCTACGGATGGCACGGGGGGTATTACCACCTCGGCCGGTTACTATGCATCACCCTGCACCGATGAGACATTTCCGGCTTATAGTTTGCAGGCCCCGTACTCGGGCGGTTTTCATTATTAAATGAACTATAAAAATCACATAATATATATAGTCAGAGAACATTTATGTATAGATACATATTGTTGAAGAGAGATAAAAAATCGTTTGGAGATAACTAACTCGAATTCGCCCCAAACTAACGTCATTGAGAGTAAAAAAAAAAAATTAAAAAATATCTAGTTATATTTTCAAGTCTTTCAGGGTATCGAGGGATTCAATTTACCACGACTTGACTGCGTAAGTTGAAATATATCATTTCGTCTTCAGGTTTCATGAGTGAAGTAGAACGATGAATAATCTCACCTGGTTATGAGTCTATATTTGATTTTCTTTTAAAAAAAAGTTTTACACGTTTACTTACAGCAGTATTTCTTATTTGATCCAATTGTTCTAAAGACTTGAGATATAATGGATAATGGATATATAACAAACTAAAAGATTCGCCCAAACGAGCGATTAATTTCTTAGCTCAAATAAATACCTATGCTCCACAGAGATAAATGTTGGGCCATTTACCCAGATTAATGCGGCTTGCCCATATAATCATAACGAGTAATCACGAAACAATGGGCAATCCGGAAAGTTTGCATAAAAAAAACTGGTACGATTTGACATCAGATATAATTCACCTCATCACATAAATAACATAATATTATTTACTAACAATAATCTTTTTAGGGGGTATTATATAGGCAATTTTAACACAATTTTCGGAAACATTTAATTTTTAAAATCTAAATTTACGTAAATCCCATTTCAAAGCAATTTACAAGAGATCTGGTTTGTACCTGTAAAAACTGGTTGTTGTGTAATTTATTTATTAGATTTGAAAGAATTTTAGAGCAATACAATTACTATTTTCTATAATACGATTGTTCGACACTAACAGTGGTGATGCATGAAATGCGTGCGCTGACGTTATTCGCTTAACACTACCTATATAAATAAATTATGTCGATAACGATTTATTGTCATTAATTCTAAATTATTCTTCAATTTATACCTATAGTTTAGATTTACGTACTACATTTCACAGAACAATCAATAGAAAATTAACATACAATTTGAAATACAAACATAATTATTATTATTTGTAAAGATTATCAGTTTTATAGTTTTCCTAATATTATAGTTATAAAGAACATACAACTATTAAGCATGCCGATAACGCGAGGGAAAATATTTCGTAGAGTATAATAAATTACTTTTATAAATTAGAAATGATGTACAACTAACAGTATGACAGTATTGTATATTATATTATTATAGTGTTACTAATGCAATAATATGTAAACATCAAACAAATCGGATTGAATATTATTTACAGCATTATACTTCGCTTTACATACAATGGGTCATTAGATAAGAATTTGTTCTGTAGGTAGGGAAATAAAAAGGATTTTATGATCGAGCGTATTACCTCCTTTGTTAAAAAAAAGTTTAGTTCGTTAAAGATAAGTAAAAAATATTTACAAAGAATATTATAAATTTAATTTGTTTGGGACTCGCGGTTAAAATACATTGACTAACTTATTTCTTCCACGTGGTATCACAACCGAGGCGGGAACCACGATACCGCCTTACTTCCACCTGAGTAGCACGTCATCGTTTATTATACAATAATAACCAGACAATGATACAAAACCATCAATAAAAATTATTTCGACTACCCGTCTACCTATACACTTATATGTATATGAATATATTCTGAGGGATGTGTAAGTCATAATATTATAGGCAATGAATTTCAAAAAGATATTCCGATCTTGATCGAGCTGATCTTCGTTGTAGATCACGTATATACTATGTGACTAGATATAAGTTTTTCAAATATCTTAAACAGTCTTAATTTCACAACTTTTACTATGTTTAGTATATTTTTCAAATTTTGATCGTCGTCGAGAAAAAAATAATACAACACGTATAGCAGATCAGTCTGGTGTATTTGCGGTCTGCAGTGGTCTAATCGTAAATTAATTTCGGCACGAACAACACATCAAATCACAAGCCGAGCGGATAGGAGAAAATGAAAATAAAATCTATGAGCCGAGTAGGAGATCATAAAATAATATTATTTATAGGTACGCAGTACCACGAGCCACAGGGGTCCCCAAAATGTCTCGACCGTTTGAAACATGTCCTCGGCCCTCGGCTATGGGTCGTAATTTGGACACCCCTGCCATGCCGTAGAGCGTATGCGGCATATAATAATATGTTAATGTTGTATGTTATTATCATGTACATGTATATAAGAACATATAAATACCGTTTTCACGCGCGAAAACGCATATCGTCGTCGGGTTAAAACAACCCCTCTCTGGTCGTGGCCGTCGGCGTGTGTGTAATATTTATATACAAACGATTTTTCCGCCGTCTCGACTAGGAATTCTGTAGCAACACTCGATGTGTTGTACACCGGGTGACCCATTTAACGTAAGACACTCGCACTATTTCAAAAACTATAAATGTTTGTAAAAATATTTATTTCCTCATAATCTTAAGTCGTTCGGAGACGACAATTTCCTAAATAAAATTACAGTTTTTCAATGACAGGGAAATTTATTTTTCCAAAGCGGAATATCATTTGGCGTACATCAATATTTTTTCGATGTAAGAAAGAGTATTCGCTAAATAACATTTTTTTCAGTCGAACACTCTCCGTCCCGAGTAGTGCAAACGAACATTACGGACGTATATGAGATGACCTCAAAGTATCTAAAAAATTCGAAAACTCGGATTTTGAACACGATATCACCCTGTATGCACACACATTATACGCGTACGATAATATATTATAACGTCGCGGGAAACGACTACGGTTTTCGCCCGCCGCCGAGGCCCTGCAGACTCGCAGGCGGTCGCGTTCCGGCGGGTACATTAGGAGAAGAAGAATTCGGTAAACGATTGATCGGGGTGGGGCGCAAAACCTCCCCCGCGGGACGTAAGCTAATTGATCTCGTGCCGCGCATTCCCTCGTGTGCGGTAAACGCCCTGGTGTATGTATAACGCGTACATAATATTATTGCACATTATATTGTATATAATGTACATTAAACCGCGATAACGGAAAACCTACGTATATATAGCGCTTACGACCCCCATCGCATTCGCATTTCGTGGAGAAAATATAATATGTATATGTTTGGCTACTGCGGGGTGGCCTACTGCGATTTCTCGAGCGTCAGTTGTGACGATGATACCGCGGTTGGTTGTTGACACAACCCCCCCCCCCCCCCCATATATATATATATGCCAAATTAACGATTTTGAGATCTTGCGGCTGCAGGTGTCCCCCTAGATTCGGAAAAAAATCAGCTGACGTCTCCAGCTATATGTGTTATCACGGCCTATTTTAAACGTACAACTAATGATATATTTACAATATTTGACACCACAACTATGTCATACAAAAAACCTTCTGTTTGAACGCCTCATATATATGTATACAAGCTTAGATATGAGCTCGTGAAAAAAATTAATGAAAACCTGGTTGTAGTACAGGCTATTCTGTGCAGCAGTTAACGACGATAAAATAAAAACTCGAATATCCTGCACCATGTACGCCCGTCGTCCGCCTAGTCTCGTACGCGAACGTGACAAATCGCTGCGCAATTTCTTTTTCTCTCGTGTATAGCGAGCGATATTGTTATGCGCAATATCACAGCTATAAACCACACCGTCCCCCCACCCTACGGTCAAATTTAATAATATAATATATAATGGCGTCTCGAGTTTATACCACTCGAAATCTCAAGAACGGCGGACGAAGACGCGAGGAAATCTTATACACACCTATCCAGTGGCGCACACTGGAGGGTTCAAGGGTAGCAGTTGCTACCCCTGATTTTTTTGGTAGGTGGGTGGGTGGACCCCCTGGCTCCAAAATATTTACATCATGAACATTCTATTACGTATAAAAATATTGAAAATAAACTATTAAATAATTATAGGCTATAGCCATTAGTCTATTAGCCAATATAGAGGTAACCGAATCAATTTGCTACCCCTATTTATTTTTGAGTGTGCGCCACTGCACCTATCTCGCACTATTTATATAATGTCATTATATATATACAAACTTCATCACTCTGCTGAAAACCCCGATTAAATTTCGATTAGAGACGCATACCTGCAGGGGCGGCCAAGCGGATTATTTCGATGTCGATCCCTGCGATAGTTTGTTAAAATTGTTGAACATTTTTATTCGTGAGACCGCTATACCGCCGACATCATATCGTTGCGCTCTCGCGGCGGTTATTGATGATTAATTGTTAATCGTATCACGACAGCCTTGTCGATATATTATTTTTTTTTTTTTTTATACAATATTATTGCAACAGATTATTATACCTACATATAATATTATAAATACAAATCGTTAAAATAAAATATCGACATTTTTGTTATTTATTCTGCAAATAATATAATATTATGCAATTTTATAACACTTCATCGTGCATTAATTATTTAGTTGAAAATTATGCAGACATTAATTACTATAGGTACATAATATCGAGCAGTTGTACGTTTTAATTTTATTGCCTATACAATTTTAGCATGTTTATTATTAATACCGATTTATTATACACTGACATAATTTACTGCAAGTCGAGCGTGACTATAGCAGAATAACAGTATCGGTTATTGGACTATATTTCCATTAAACGGGCGACACGGGTGATTCATCAAGTATGCTGCTCACTATTTTTTTCTCTCAACAATGCATCTATTCAAATTCTG